GCGCGGGCGCGCGGGGGCGGCCGCGGGGGACCGGCTCCGGGAGGGCGGAGCTGGGCGCCTGTGGGAGGGCTTAACTCGCGATCTCTGGAGACCAGAGGTTTAGTAAGCGTGTTTGGTGGTTGTCGAGTCTTCCTAGGCCCTGCCTCGCGGTGCCATTGTGGGAAGGTCCTCTAAAGAGAAAGGGGAGGGAAAGAAAGGAACTGAGGAGAGATCGGTTGTAGCCCCTTCGGCTGAGCTGCGCGCGGGGCGGAGCCTGGGTGGGCGGGGCCTTTGGTGGGCGTAGTCCTGGCGGGGCGGGGCCAGGCGGGGACGCGCGGGGAGCTGGGGCCCGGGGTCGCGCGCCTCCCAGCTGGAGGCGGAGCCGGCGGGAGGACGTGGGAAAGGTGTGTGTCCTGGGGCACTGCGTCTTCAGCGTGTCGTCTGCGGGGGTATTTTAAATTCCCGAACAAGCCCAGAAAGGAGTCCTCAAGACTGCAAGGGAACACCAGATGAAGGCGAGCTGGCCTGGCCTGGCGCGCTCAGCTCTCCGCGAGGAAGCGGGGATGGGCAGGATTGCCTTCGCGCCTCCCCTGCTTCTGCAGCCAAGCCCTGAAGCGGCTTCCTTCGGGGTGGAGAGAATTCTCGGCGCCGCCCGGAAAGGGTCCCCGGGGGGCTGGCGGGCTGCCCCTCCGGGCCGGGCTCCGGCCTCGCTCGCCGGCTGGGACGCGTTGCCGTGGCGGTAGCCATGGGGACCAGAGTGGCTGGTGCTGGGATTCACAGAAGATTGCGAAAATAACTCTGCGGTGCCGAGCCAAAGCGCTTTGTTACAAGTTTCAGGAGGCCTCTACTCTAGCGGTAGCTGCGATGTATTTTATTATTATGCGTTTTACGTTCAGTGCTAGGATAGGTAAAATGAGGAAGGACGGTGTGATGGATCAGGTGGTTCCTGATAACCTTATTAAATGTCTGCATCTTCACTGAGTTAATTTTAGGAGTGGAATAATTATTTAGGAAGACCATGGTAACTGGCAAGTATAGGTGAATTCTCTGCACTTAAGGAGCGCTAGCTATACCAGAGTATCAGATTCATTTGTCTGAATTTTCTGTATTCTTTGAGTAGAAGTCAACCTCTCAGTGAGAACCGCTGAGGTTGTTTTGTCCTTTGTGATCTAAAATTGAAACTTTGGAAACAAACTCTTTGAGGAGTTATGTTCAACATAGAAGTGAGTTTCACATCATATTACAATGAACACAGGCAAATTGGAAGATTTACTCTAAAAAAGCTCGGTGCAAAGTAACTGACTGCTACAACTGAGAGCTGTATCAACATTTAGCAAGATTTTAACTTGCCTTCGAGCATCCCAGAACTTTATGCAAGACAATTAGGAACAAAATCGTACATTAAGGTTTCTTCTGAAGAGTTTTGTATGACTGGGCTGGAGACGAGAACTCTAGCTGTCCTGCTGCTGAATTGTAAACTGGGCAAGTTGTTACTAAACTGCACATTTGTTATGTCTGATATATTTTCTCTATGCTTCGTAGAGCTGTTTGATTACTACTAGTAATATGTGTGGAATGGCTTTAAACAAAGGGCTACGTAAAGTATATTTTATTTTTATGTTTGAACTAGTGATTGGTTTTGCCAGTAAACATTAAGCGAAGAGAATTGGGGCATGGTGAGAGACTATTTAGGACTTTAGGTAACTAGTAACAGGGTTAAGGTGGGACTGCTTCTCTGTATGCAAGAGAACTTTGGAGTTATTAAACTATTCATGCGTTAAAATTATATAGGCATCTCTTGAAAAATTACTACTATGCGCGTTAGATTTTGAGAAAATACATACTTCGCTTCTAAGTAGCTCACATTTGTTTAAAAGTTCTGATGTTCAGTTAAATTTTCTAGACATTTATCAAGAATTTAAAACATTATTCCAAAGGAATATGAGAGCTATATGAGATAAACTGTGTTCCAAAGTACCATCTGAGGGATTAGGAAGAGATCAGTAAATGAATGTTAATGCATGTTAATGTCACCTTTCCTGTAAACTACAGGATGCTTTTGGCTAGTGGGATCATTGACTTATCCAAAGTTCTTGACTATTATCTTAAATAATAGCAAATAATGTAATTTCCAGTACATTGTAAAATGTCATTTTACAGTAACTTGTCACTGCTTTAAACCTATCTGTTGGAATTAAGCACTATAACATGCCAATACTAATGTGCTTTTGTAGTTGAAATTTCATATTCTACTGTCTGGAGACTGTTTCGTTGTCATAAACAGGGAGTGGGATGCCACTGGTGTGTAGTTAGAAAAGGCCAAGGATGCAGCAAAAAATCTTACAATACACAGAACAATTCCTAACAGGCAATTAACTCACCAAAAAGTCAATGTGCCATTGAGAAAACTTGACCTACTGAACTGTCTTATGTAGGCTGTATTCAGGCATAAAAGTCTTGTTGGTTATCATACTTACATCAAAAAATAAGTGTATATTTAAATTTATTGCATATCTGTGATCATAATGTTTGAAATGTTAAAGTCAATTGTTAAAGTCAATTTGGAGGAAAAAAAGTTTTATTACTACTGTTAGTGTACAGCCGGTCAAACAACATACATATCCCAGTTTTGAATGGTTAAAGTGTAAGATTTTACTGAGATGGATTTCTTTATGAGATTGGAAAAGTGTTTCCTTACCTAATCATTGGAACTATTTTCTTACATTGCTTTTGTTTTGTGGCCTGGCAGTTAGTGTACCCTTTCTGCTTCTACCTGGGTAAGAGATACTCTTTTTGTAAAAGTTCAATTCCCTCTGTTCTGAAGTGCCTTGAACAGTTTCTGGTATATATGGTTGTTCCATTAGCAGTCGTTAGATAGATGGATAAACAATTGAAAGGATATACACTTCAAAATTAAATGTTATAGTAGTCCAAGCTAGAAATCATAGGTGTTAGTATCAGATTAAATGTTATTATAATAACACAACTAGAAATGATGGGTGAAAACTTGTACATTTTGGATATACAGTATTCTGAAGACAAAGCAAGGGAAACTTACTTAAAATTTGCATGTAAAAGAGAAACATCAGCTATCACTGCATGCCTATGGTCCTGAAAAACTGTAAGTTACCATTTGTCCAAGTCTTTTGGGGCTATTGTAAGAAAAATATGATAGGTTAGATAACTTATAAACATAGAAATTTATTTTTCTCAGTTTTGGAGGCTAGAAAACTCCATGATCAAGGTACTTGGAAAATTTGGTGTCTCCTGCTTCATAGATGTGCGTATGTTTGATGTCTTCATATGCCCATAGCACAGAATCTGAGATTTCCTTTATAAGGATGCTAATCACCTCCCACACATCCTGCCTTCAGATACCATCACACTGGGGTTAGGCTTCAACATCAGAATTTGTGAGGGACACCAACATTCAGATCACAGCACCGCTTATTCGTATGGGGGAGACTGAGACGAATAGGATGATGAAGGTGGAAGTGTAATTCTTCTGTCCATTTTCTTCAGTGGCACATTTGTGTTTCTAAATTTAATTTTCCATTGAAACCTGTACTTATCTATCACAATATAAATAATACCATGTATTGCCTTCAGTTTAAAAGGTCTAGGCTGGGGATTTAGCTCAGCGGCAAAAGCGCCTGCCTGGCAAGCGCAAGGTCGTGAGTTCGGTTCCTGGTACCGGAGAAAAACCAAAAAAAAAAAAAAAAAAAAAAAAAAAAAGGTCTAAACATTTTCTCACAGACTGATGGGACATTTCCCATGCTCTACCTTCAAGTTGAACACCTGACAACATTAATTGAAATACTTCTACTAAGTACTATTATCTCATTTATGTGTATTAGGAGATTGAACCTTCAGCTCACGTTTGGTTACTGAAGGTTTTTCTTTAAAAAACTATTGAGTTTAAAATACAGTAAGACGTATTTTCTACACAACTTTCTATATAGGTATTTTCTCATTTCAAATAGTTGGCTCTGCTGGTTGTCAAGCTCATACCAAACCTGTGAGTTTGCTTGTAGTAATTGAATCATAAGTTTTCTGATTTGTTCAGAATGAAGCAAATTAATCCAAACACAAATGCAGTGTTGTAATTTATTATTTATAATTCATATTATCACGTAGTGTGAGTTTTCCGCATTGCCTAGGTTAATTCTGAGAAATGAATTTTTCAGTGTATTTTTTTAAACTTTATTGATTTATTTATTTGGTTTGCTTTGGTTAAGCAGAGAAAATAATACATGCAAAATTGTCATTTTCAATGAGAACCCACTTGTTAAGATCTCTAAAAAAGTTGCCCCAAGACAAGTCTGACTGTAAACCTATGTAAATTAAAATTATTGTTTTCTGTCTTATGGGTTGGCACATGCACTGAATATGGATAGGTAAAAGATGCACTGTGTTCAACTTAATGGCTCTACAGATTGCAAAAGTCAGCCATAACTAAAGATTTAATATAATTAAGCCTTTTTACCAAGTTTTTAAGAGCAGTCTTGAATAAAACTGGCTTTTGGTTTTAACAGTGTGTATGTGGAAAGAAGAATACCAGGATTTGACTCATGCTAGCACTTTTATTCCCCATTGCTTTTTAATCCTCAGTACAAATGTTAATGCAGGTGTTCCAAGATAAACTATAATGTTTAAAAAATTACTTAACACTTTCAGCATAACTTGTGTTTAATTGAAGACATTTAAATCGAAGAGCTTATCAGATGATTAGTTGGTACTAATGCCAGGAAGATATACGCACAAAACAAGTCCAAAATAAAATCTATATATATATCTATTTTTGAGGAATAACCACAGTTCTTGCAGATAAGACATTAGCCCAGTCTTTATGTTTTAATTAAATTTTCAATTCATTAGAAAAATTATTTCTTTTAATGACTTTTCTCGCAGCAGCCATTCTTTGTAAAGTGTACTTTTGTACATACACCAGACACAAGTAATGCTTTTTATAAAACTAGTAAATTAAAAGTTCTTAAAAAACAAAATGAAAAAGCAAAAGCATTTTGAGAGAGAATGACAAATATGAAAGATTCAAAATAGGAAGATTCAAGACACGGATAAATGAATCTCTAAGTGAAAAACCGTATCTAGAAAATAGGATATTTAAAATTTGCTGAAAATACTGTTGTGATGTATACGTTAAAAAGCCACACTATAACCTGAGAATATCAGGTAAGAACAACAGCCAGAACCAACACATATTCTAATAAAAGTAATAATCTTGAAATAAAATGAAAAAAAAAAATGTTGGGAATCTATGAGAAAAACAGCAGTTTTTGTCAAAGCATCAAAATTATTGGGTAAGGTGCAAAAACAACTCCAGGCATACTTAGCTAGCTACCTTTTCACAAAAGTCCCAAACACCTTTCCTGAAGGAAAAATAGCCTCTTTAACAAATGGTGCTGGGAAAATTGGCTTTACATGTGTTGAAGATTGAACATAGACCCATATCTCGCACTAAACTAAAATTGAAATGGATCAAAGATCTAAATATTAAAACAGAAACGTTTAATCTGCTGGAAGGTGGAATACTCTTGAAAACAGGTGTGGGAAAAGACTTCATGAATAAAACCCTGCTTCTATAAGAAATATAAAGCATCAACAAACAGGATCAGACCAAATTCAAAAGCTGCACAGGAAAGGAGACCACTAACAGAGTGAAGAAAAACACATCGAATGAGAAAAAAATTTTGCCAGCTACCTGGAGAACTAATATCTAGAATAAAGAACTCAAAAAAATTAGACCCCTCCAAAATTTAAAGACCCAATCCAAAAATGAGTATCTGAAATGAATAGACACTTCTCAGATTAAGTACGAACAGCCAATAAGTACATGAAAAAAGTGCTGAACATCACTGGCCATTTGGGAGATGCAAATTAAAACAACACTGAAATTCTAACTCACTAGAGAGATTGGCTGTCATTAAATAATCAGCCAATAACAAGTGCTGGTAAGGCTGCAGGGAAAAAGGAACCCTTCTCCATTGTTGGTGGGAGTGTAAACTGGTACAACCACTAAGGAAAGTCGTATGAAGATTCCTCAAAAAACTAAAACTAGAGCTACCATTTGACCCAGCTGTTGCCCTCCTAGCTATGTTCCTGAAACAGTTAAAGTCATGATATAGTGATATATGCATACCTATGTTTATAGCAGCAAAATTTATAATAGCTAAATCTTGCAACCAGTCCATATGCCCATCGATAGATGAATGGACAAAGAAAATGTATTTATATGCAATGGAATACTGTTCAACCATAAAGAAGGATAAATTTAAGTTAAATGTCACATTGTTTCTCGTGTGAGAATCTCAGCAAATAATATTAAGAAGTAGGATGAACTTTTTCAACTGGGAAGGGGGTAAAAGATGGGAGGGAGGGAGAGAAGGAAGAGAGAAGAGATTTAAAACAATAAGAATTGGAGGAAAAATCAAAATAGAGCTTCTGTAAATGAAGGGAAGATGGGAGGGGAAGGGAACCAAAAAATAAATAAATAAGAATTAAGATGTATTATGTACATGTACAGATCTCCTATGATGAATATGATGATTGTGTACTGCAAACATGTACTAAAAATTATTTTTTAAAAAAAATCATTGGATAATCTTAATTTCCTTAAACTACTCAAAAAAAAAAAACATTTGATCCAAATATTTTATACCCAACAAAGTTATTCTAAAGACTATTAAAGGGCAAGGTCAAACATATCTATAGTTATGCACTTTTTATAATTATGCATTTTTCCTATGAGTGCTTTTGAAGCAATCTACTGGAAAACAAAAGACATCAGCACTAATGAGAGAAAACAGTCCAAGGACTGGAAAGTAGAATTAAAAATACATTTACTTTTAGATAAAAAATGAAAGTTAAGGGGTATGTCAGTTATTTTTCACTCATTGCTGAGACAAAATACCCAACACCCAGAGTTAAGGAAGGAAAGGTTTATTTAGCTCACAGTTTGTGGTAGTTTCAGTCCATAATAAGCTGGCCCCAAGGCAGGGTGGCATGTGGCAGACTGATGACCTTTCATGGTGGCAGAAAACAGCAAAAGCAACAGGAGCAAGAGGGGGGAAGCAAGCCTCTTTTTATCCCTTATGTTGTATACAGGCTACCCGCCCTCGGCTGGGTGTAGAGCTCACATCACTAATTCCAGCGCTAGACAATGACCCAATCACAAACTAGATTCAGCAGCCTCCAAAAAGCCACCCTGACTGCATGAGGCTTTGAGGGACATCCAAACACAAACCATAACAAGGGGAGAAGTTATAGTATTTCATATCTATATAATCTGAAAAGATAGTATGATAATGAGGGAGAGGTGAAGAATGGCAAAGTATATTAAAAAATATTTTAATTTCATTTTCAGTAGTCGAGGCCAGGGATATAGCTCAGCAGCACAGCACCTGCCTGGCAAGTGTAAGGTCCTGAGTTAGATTCCCAGTACCAAAATAGTAATAGTAATAACAATAACAATAATAATTTTCAGTAATCATACTTAATAGTGATATTAATATTGTTATTTTTATTGTAAAAGAAGATAAAGCAAGTGAATCGTTTTGATATCTTGTTATTCTGTGTGGCCTTGAGCAAGATTCTTAGTGTGGAACAGAAGATACAGATATAAACCAAGTAATAACCCTGTACTTCTCAATTTGTAAAAATCCTAGGGAAAGAAAAAAAAAAAAAAAAAAAAAAACAGCAGCCAGAAGCAAACAGCAACCCTAGCTCCCCACACTGCAGTAATATGGCCCTGTTAGTGTATTCTGCCCAATTAATGTGATGAAGTGACAATATCCATTTCCAGGTCTGGCCACACAAGTGATTTTCCCACTTTCTTGGCATGCTAAAACCAAAGGATCCAACAATTTCTGAAGAGGCTACCGAAGATGACTTAAGACAATTTGTTCTGTTCTAGATATCAGTAGATCTAATTGATACCTTTTATTTGTATCTCTGGAGAGTATGAAGGTAGCATTTTCAAGGGTGGTTTTTTGATATCCTGGGTCTGCGTCTGGTCAAATCTTACCTATCAGATATATTAAGCTTCAGGTGAATGGGTAATGAAGTCTTCCTGGGTAGTGCAATGGAGAAACCATTTTCATTTACCTACTTTCTGTTAGAGGTCCTGAAACAATGCCTTTCAACATAGTCTTTTAGCTGTGAACTTGCTAACTCATGCTTACTATTTCTGTTACTAAATTTATCTCACTTATTACTCTGTCCTAAAACTTGTTTTCAAATACTTTTCTTCCAATTTAGGTTCCATGTTAAGATTTTATTTCTCATAAAACTTGGAGGTGTGTTTTACTTAAAGAATCTGTGTCTATGGTATTTATATTTTTGCACAGATTGTTAGCAATCGGTGATGAAGTACTGACTTATATCAATGAATTAAAATAGTTTTGAGCAGTAAAGCAACCCCACACTATATATTTCAGTGTTCTATTGAACTGGTCTAAAATCTAAGCCTAAACCAAATCATTGTTGACAGAATGATGGATGTTATACTCCTTTAAGAGTTTCCTTATGGAATTATTTAAAATTCTCCCCGACCCTTGCCTCCATCTGTTTGGAGTGTGTGTACTACCTTGGCCCAAATCAAATACTGCTTTAGAAGTTTGGGCAATGTAACTTGTGTTTTAGGTGTTTGTCTCTGTTAAAATTTTAAAGAACATTATTAGATATTAAGTCATCACCCATTATTCTTACAACACTGTCTCTAGGACCACTTGCTGTTTGATTCCATAGCTTGTATCACCCTTTTGTTCCCTGAAATAAAAAGGCTTTATTATGGAGAGCAAAGCATTTTTTCACTTAAATATTGCATGACCTGATTCATATTAGTTTCCTGCTCCTTCTTAACTTTGAAATCTATCATCTCACAGTTCAGTAGACTACAAGTCTCATCTCAAAGTGTTAGCAGGGCTCCATTCCCCCTGAAATTTACAGGGAAATTCTCCTTTGCCTCTCTTGGAATTTTTGGCATTCTTTGACTTACAGATACATCTCGGCAATCCTGTGTTTACAATGAAATGTCCTCCTTTTATCTCCTGAAAGTCAAATTTTGATCAGTAGAAGTTGAAGAGAAGGGGCTGCAATGATTTGAATATATCCCCTCCCAAGCTTGCCAATGTGACAGTATTAAGAAATAGAGAGTTCCAGAGATCATTAGGCCTTAAGGGCTTCTCCTTTGCGAGTGGGATTAGGTACTAGCATAATAATGGAGGAAGTTCATCCCTGTTTGCTTTCTGACCATTTTCCTATGTGAGGATATAATATTTCCTCCCTTCCATAGGATACAGCAGCAAGGTGCCATCTTGGGATTGGAAAATATTGCTCAAGAGAGAGTTGAACCTGCTGATACATTGATTTTTACAAAAATCTTACAAAAATGTAAGAAGGTAAATTTCCAGTTTTTATAAGTTTCTCAGTCTGTGGCATTATACTACAGCAGCTGAAACAGAAGTAATAAGTGAGTGGTACCATTCCCGTGTTTTCCTTAATTTAAATCAGTATCCAATATATGGTAGTATTTCTACCCTAACCAAAATTCATGGAAAGTAAAGATTAAAAATGGGAATCCTACCACAGTGTAATACAACAGTTTCTCTATACCCTAAATGTTGAACAATAATAGCACTTTGCTGACTAGT